ACTTCGCCGCCGCCTGAACCGGACCAGCAGCGTCTGAATCGGGGATCCCTGGGGCAGAGCCGGACTATCCGAAGGGGGGGCTATGAGGGGTCTGGGGTGGCATCACCTCCCACCCCACCCCGGACCCCTCATAGCCCCCCCTTCCGATAGTCCAGCATCTCTGATAATCCGGCACCCCCTGGGTCCTAAAGTTGCCGGATTATCCGAAGTTTACTGTAAAAGCAAACAATGACAAAGATCAGCACAATAACAGCTGCACCATCACTCTAACACTATCAAATTTTCTCTGGGCATCAAAGGAAAGGAATTAGGATATGCCATGAAGATCCTTGAAAGTAGTTTGTTTGGTGTGAAAAGGAGAGTCAGTGGAGGGATGCAAACAAGGTGAGACTGGTCAAAGACAATGGACTAATTAATGACCCCTGTGGCAGCATTCTGAATGGATTTGAGTAGGGCACGATTGTATTTGTCCAGGCCAGAGAAAGATTTTTTTTCTGTAACCAAGACATGAGTTGATAAGAGCTTGAAGTAATTTCAGCTGAGTGGATGAACATGATATGCAGGGCTCGCCAAACTGCAGCGAGCCCCGCTCGCCAGCTGCACTATCCAGTGATCTGAGCATGTGCAGATTGCTCTTCTGGGTTGCAATCTACTTGCCATGGGCGAGTAGATTGCATTATTTGTCAAGCCCTGATGATATGTACCTAAGATGTCATTCAGAAACAATCAGCAGCACTTAAAAATGTAGCCTGGATATAAGGAACTAATGAGAGGTCTAAATCAAAAGGTGTTGCCCAGGTTATAGAACCAAGTGACAAGTAGAATGGTGGTATTTTCATGACAATCAAAAAAGCTAGAGGTGAAGATTTAGAATTCTGTTTTAACCATGCTAATAATCTTTCATGTTTTTAATATTATGACAACCAGAAGAGCTAGAACTCTTTTTTAAAATGGTAACAGATTGAGAAATTCATTTCTATTCCAAGGGATAAATGGCAGACACACAGAGTGCAAAGGACTCTGTCCAATTTCAGCTTCTATATCCCATGCAAGATGTTAATTATTCTGAATGAGTTTTTTAGTACAATAGGTGGCCTGTCCTTATAAAAGGTTTAAGGAAGTTCAAAGTAGGGATGTAAAATCCTGTTTAATTGGTTAACTAGTTGAACATGCTGTTAACCAGTTAACTAAATTAAAGGAGTTGTGGATAGTGTCCTGAGTAGCTCCTGCCTTTGGGCCACCCGGACCCACTGTAGACACGGGCTGCTCTGGACAACCATACCAGCCTGTGTCTGGCACATATCCATCCCCTGAACAGCAGGTGGGGAACTGCTCCAACCCTGCCAGTTAAACATTCACAACCCTAATTCAGAGAGATACTATTTTAAAGAATCCTATCTTATTTTAGGGAGATGTACAGATTTGAGTGAGAAATATGATTTTTAGGTTTTAGTTTTATCGGTCAACCTAAGCTGAAAACTCTGGCTGTAATGCATTTCAAAGAGGAGAGAAACTATGCCCTTATTAGGATTTGATACTACATTATCTGAGCACTATCAGTGTTCTACCCTCAGCTTATGTCTGAGCAGGAAAGAGCATACTGGCTTCATCCAAAGTTAGCTGGAGTGATGACAATAAGTTCTGGCTACATCTGGTAATCATTTATTCTATTTTTAATGTGCTTATCAGAGAAGTGTCTAACTACTGAACATTGTAGTGACATCAATGTACTCACAGGATGAAGCTCCCCAATAATGAAGGACTCAGACAGTGTTCTGGCATCTGTGGAATGGCCAACATCCTCAAAGCTTTCAGTAGCATCTCCTCCAGCTTGTTCCCTTAGGACTTCTTCACCACCTGGATGCTGTAATGGAAAAAAAAATTCATTTCATGATCTTACAAGAAGTCTCGTATCTTCAAGAAATCACAGGAGGATGAAACATTACAAATGTCAAGCCAAATTTATCATGAAAAAAATGTATGCACATTCTTAAAAAAACCAATTTAATATTTTTGAAGAGCCCCCTGGTTTACACAATGTGAGAAAATAAAATTCCTTGTCTTATTTTTCCAGTTTCTTTTTGCAAAACTGATTCTTCCTTACATTCTAAACTACAAATTCTTCATTCAAAAACTTCCACCTGGATGATTAATTGCTAGAAGTAGAATCTCACATTCCTAACTGAACTAGTCCAGGCCTGACAGGAAGTAAGGATATTAAAATGTATTTGTGTAAACGTGTAACTGCTGAAATTCAGTGGATATACATTTACCCATGGGGGTGGAAGAGGAGAAGGTGGGATCTGGTGCTCCCGTTCTCTCCGCCCCCCACGCCAGCTGCAGTAGAATGGGGTGGGGTGGCATGGGATGGGATGGGGTGGAAGACAGGATCTGGTGCTCACAGCTGGCTCCCCACATGCACAGGATCTTGTCTTCTCCCCACCCTTGCTGCCTCTGATATGCAAGCAGCTGGAAGGGGAGGCTGTGCGCAACCAAGAGCGTTAACCAATGAGCCCAGACACATTGGTTAACCGTGTACTCAGCAACACATTCACATCCATAACAGGAAGTTACATACATAAGCAAATTAACTTAACACACTACTATAACACTTTTTCTACATATGGATTATTTATACTTCTTGTGAGAGCTGAAACAAATCCTAATGTATATGCTGTGGACTTCAACAGTGACAGCAACAAATGATTAAAGTTTTTACATTGTTAGAGTCTTCCTAGTATATGTAAACCAGTACTAATTGACAAGCAAATCTGGGTAAAATTTTCACAAGTGCATGACAGGTAGGTGCCCAACACCCACTGAAATCAATGGGCCGTCGGTGCTTCTCAAAATTGTACCTAATTACTCTTACACCTACATACAGTATCTCTGAGAAATGCCGGCAGTCAAAAAATGCTTACATCTTCAAATTCTCCCTGCCAATATTGTGGCTTAAACATATTTTCTTTATGAAAAAGAATCATGTGCTCTGGTGGACACTCCATACAACTCATCACGTCTCTATAGTTCCTGTCTGTTGGCCCCTCCTTAAAGGTGCAGGCCCCCTAGACAAGCCTCGTGGCAGGAAGCTGACCCCAGACAGCAGCACCTCACCATGTGGCTCTCCCTGCCACAGCCAGGACAAGGCATATCTGCTCGAGGCCCCCCACGACCCTCTGGGCCCTCATCAGCAGCAGCTCCAGGGGTCACAGGACCCACCGAAGGGCACCAAAAGGTGCACACACTCCTGGTCTGGTCCGGAGGTCGAGGCCCTCCTGGAGCTGTGGGGACAGGAAAAGACCTTGCAGGATCCCCAGGCCCAAAGAAGAAATGCAGAGATCCTTGGCCCAGCATGGATACCCACTCCCTACCTTTGAACAGCTCCGGAGTAATGTTAAAGAACTGCAGCTGGAGTACGTCCATGCCAGCAAGTGCTCGGGGAAGGTCCCCACACCTACACCTGCTTCAGGGATGCGGGGGACAAATCCCTATCCACCCTTGTGGACTCTGGGCTGCAGACCCCCATAGTGAGCCATCCAGAGCAAGAGTAGAAGGGCGAGGGCCTGGCCATCAAAGCAGAGGACTCAGAGGAGCACAGGGGCAATGTGACCCTGTCTTTGGAGCCAATGCCCAGCAGCCAGGATGTTTTCCAGGCCTTCTCAGGCATCTGAGAGGGATCCTCACGTGAGTGGTCTCTGTCACTCTTTTCAGAGGGTGAGTGTCATTTGGGCTGCTCTGGCTGGACACCCGTGCTGCAGTTCGCACATGTGCAACCTCATGCAGCATTACTGTGTGCACGTGGATGCAGCAGGTAGCCCCTGAACATGCCTGGGATCCTGCTGTCCCCACACGCCTGCCATGGGGGGAGGGAGGAAACGACACCGGCTGGAAGCAGGCTAGCCACAAGTGCGCAGGGCCGACTCACCACACACTGAGGAATCTCGCACATAGTACATGGCCATGTGAGACAGCAGCTGAGCCCATACAAAGAGCTGTGAGCTGCCCATGTGCGCAGCCCCCAGGGAGTCCCAGGCAGCTCTTGGCCGTTGCTGCTCACAGAGGAAGGTACAGCCTCAGGGACAGTGTCTGCAGGGATGACTAACTGCCTCTCCCTCTTGTGTGTTCTCCATAGTTCTGCCGCCCCTGAGGGAATCCCACTGTGTCCAGACACTTCCCTGGGCTGCTTGTATGTGAGCTGGGGGGAAGTGGGGAAGCGGGCAGCTCGGTCCTCTGGGCCGAGGACTATTGGTCACTGCTCACAGGGGAGGGCACAGCCTCAGAGACAGTGTCTGTAGGGATGATTGATCCTCTCTCCCTCTTGTGTGTTCTCCACAGCCGAACCAGCTGGGAGTGAAGGGCCAGCCAGTCCACCACTGCCACCTGCCACAGCTCAGGGACCACAAAGGTGCACCAGGGCCCAGGATCAGCTCATGCGGTGCCATGTCACTGCCAGAGAGGATGGAGCAGACACTGGCCCACAAGGTCTGCTCTGATCTCGAGTGGCGTCAACATGCTTGGGGACAGTACCTGGAGCGGTATGACCACATGTGCAATCTAATGGCCAGCATGGTGGCACATATGGCCTCCCCAGGTGATGCCCATGCCCCTTCCTCCTGCCCCCCTGCCAACTCTGACCCCGCTCCAGCCCCCCTTCCTGGCCACCTCCCTGTGCTCCCCACACCCACAACCCCGACAAGGCCCCCAAGGTGGCACAGGCAGCTGCCCCTCGCAGTCACGAGTCCCCCTCTCAGTTTACAGCCCCCTCCCCTCCGCCCACCTTTTATTGATGTTCAATAAATACAGTTTTTTTCGTTGCAAAACAAAAGTTTGTTTATTGGGAAGTCAGAGGAGGGGGAAAAGGGAGGGCTTGTGGTGGAGAAAAGATGTGGCTGCAAGGCCGGGGCCCCTTGGTAGGAGTCCCTGAGGACAGTTACTGGGGTGCTTGCGAGAACCTCTCCCTCAGGGCCTCCCGGATGCACACCCCAGCCTGCTGGGCAGCTGCTGTCTGGGGCTGCTCAAATGCATGGCCCTCGTGGCTGGCGTCTGCTTCCCCATCCTGGGAAGAAAGCCTCCCCCTTCCTCTCCACAATGTTATGAAGGACACAACATACCGCAACCACCTCAGGGATTTTGTGTTTCCCCCATGTCGAGGCGGTTGAGCAGGCGATGCAAGTGCGCCTTTAGACAGACAAAGGTGCACTCAACCAGGTTCCTGGTCTGGTTTGAGTGGGCATTAAATTGTTCCTTGCTGATGTCCAGAGTAGGGCTCCATAAGCCATGCCATGAGGGGGTAGGATGCGTCCCCCACAACGCACAGAGCCAACTGCATATCCCCAGCAGCAAAATCCCAGTGGGGGAAGAATGTGCCCGCCTACGGAACAGGCTGGAGTTTCAAAAGATGCAGGCGTCGTGTGCCTGCCCAACCACCCCCAAAAATGTCCATAAAGTGTCCACAATGGTTGACCAGGACTTGCTGCACCACTGAAATGCAGCCCTTGCTAATGATGAAGCGGGCCGCTCGATGGTCCGGTGCTCAGATGGGGATGAAAGTCCCATTGATGGCTCCCCCACAGTTGAGGAACCTCAGGAGCAGCAAATCCAGCCACAGCCACATCCAGGTCTCGCAGATGCATGACCCTCT